TTGAAATCAGTGTAGATTATATCCACACAGCTCCTTTCATAACCGTTAGCCTCTGTTGGGCTCTTTATTTTACAAAGCCGCTTTTGGCAATCGTGTTTGTGTTGGACGGGCTTGCGAATGGCCTCCTTTATTGTCTGCTCTAAAACGTTGTCAGGTTTTTGAGTCACCGTCCCATCACGAGAGGGTCCTCTTTCCTGCTGGAAGAGCGGAGTCCCGCTGGCTGGCCTTCCATCCCCTGGCCTCTCCCTGGGCCTGCAGGATTCTCCCAGGACACCTGGCGGAGGCCCCAAGAGCTCTTGGCCCTTCAGCCTGCTGGGGCGTATTTCATCGGGGACCGGCCACATCCGGCTTAGCCGGGGGGGGGTCCCTTCCGCCTCCTTTCTGGCCTGCACCCTCCCCTGCTGAGCTCCTCCCTAGCCTGGGCCACACAAATCGGCTTCCTCTGGATGCAGGTGGGCGTGGGGGGCAAAGGGATCGGAGCTGCTTTGCTTTCCCTTGATTAAGACCACTCACCTCCTTTTACTCCTCAACACTCTCATCATCAGTTGGGTGGACCTCAGGCAGGTGAGTTCATGCTGGTCCTTCCTTCTTCCTCCCTGATTTTGTTGTCTTCCTCTAAAACTGTGGCCTGTGGATTTTGGGGCCCTGGCTTGGCTGTCGTGCTTGCAGCATAACTCCTCAGGAGAGAGAAACCTGGGGAAGGAGCTGAGATTTGGCCTTGGGGAGTGCAGCTGTCCTGTTTGAGGGCTGATGAGCTGACCTGGCCTGCTGGGGGGCAGATAGAGGCAGCGTTCCAATCGGTCGAGACTGTTGCATGTAAGCGTTGAGGACTAAAGCAGGGAGCCTGTTACCTTGGCAGCTGGTTTGACTCCTGGAGAAAAGGAGAGAGAAACGGAGGTACGTTGCCCCATTTTAGCAAGTCTTTCAGAAGGTACTGATGGAGAGAAACATTCTAGTAAGCGTTCGAGAGAGAGTAAGTGTTGTGTGGTCACCATTTCCTGGCCCCGAAGGTGGAGAACAGAGTAAAGGGAGCAATGTGAGACTTCCCAGAGGAAGCCTGTGTGAATTCTACTCAGAGCGACCGTGAAAGTAGAGAAACGAGATCCCGGGGAGCAGAGGCGGCTTTCTTTCTCACCATGACAGAACTTTCATTGGAAAGCAAAAATAGAAAAGGAAGGAAAAGCATCGAGGAGGGTGTTTCTGCCTGGCCCTCTGATTTTTTCCAGCTGAAATAAAGGAAAATTAAGTCCTGGATATTAATCCAGTTTCTAAGATAGAGGTTCAGGTCAAAATTGCATCAAAATAATTCAAAATTATGAGGGAGATGTGCGATTATGCTCCATAACTTTTCTGCAAAATGTGATATAGCAGTGAGAATGGTGCCACACCAATCATTATAAATTTATCTTTATATTGATACCAACAACTGAACTTTCCATTCATTTATTGGTTTTTCACGTAACGGTTTCATGTTTTTGCATGAAAAACTGACAAGCTCTAACATCAGATTAAAGGACAAGGTTCCATCTTTATTTGGTCTCTGGACTGGGCTCTTTGGCTTTTCTCTTGTGAACCGCATTATATCCTGGTGGAATCTCTCCCCGTGCTCATCCCTCACTGCCCCACAGTTCAAAGGGGAATAGTCTAAATGCGAGTGTAAGAAGTGAATTTTCGATGACACGTTTGCACCAAGTGCTTTGTAGGACCTAAGCAAACTTTCCACATCTTCTTGACTCGTCCTCTGCCTTGCTGTTCTCAAAGTGAAGATAAATTTATACACTTCCAGGTGGTACCGTTTTCATTCTTCTACTATACTCTGTCCAGATAAGGCATCATGATCATTAGGCTCCTCCCTCCCTTGCAGGCAAATGTACCCACCTGTGTATAAATCATTATTGTGAAATATCTTGAAAACTTTATCCAACCAGCACCTTTATCACCTGTTTTCTAATTCATCTAATCAAAATAGGTAAAATTAACACATTTTATCTTGGAGGTGGATAATTTCCCCAAAATTGTAAACCAGGGTGGGTTGTAGGTAAGCTCTGCAGATCAGCCTTCTCTTGGGGCTATTCTTTGTTTAATCTGAGGC